AGTGAAAGTGGATTTTGTGAAATTGGACCCTTCGAACATTGTGTTATTAGTACTATGACAGAGAACACGCAGTATACGTCGCATGAATATGCGGATATTCACCTAATTTACGGTGAAGCTTGCTATAATGCCAGAGCTGCTCAAAGACTCTATGCAGAGCGATACTCCAATCGTCGACATCCGGGTCGTGAAGTATTCGCCCGGACCCATAGAGAAATATATGAAGGTAAGTGATTTTACACCTTTCTTGTTTGCTTGCTTGTTAACTATCATTTTTCACTTTTTAAGGTCGCATACCTGGAAGGCGTGGCGGCGAAACAGGACGTCCTGCAACGGTAGATGTTGAAGCGGTGAAAAATTTGTTAAGTCATTAAAAATATGTTTGCTTTAAATTTGTAGAAAAACATATCGTCACCTGAAACTCAAAAAGACGTAACAAAAATCATTGTTAAAATGCAAAAAGTCATAACTAATAAAAAATTCAAAATTTACTTTTTGATTTATATAATGGATTTCAACGAGTTACAACTTCCCACATCATTTTATGAAAAAAATAATGAAAATATTAGTCACGACTTTTTCAATCTCATTTACGATATTGTTACGTCTTTTTGCATTTCAGGTGACGATATGTATTTACTTATTTGGTACTTATTCAATAAGTGTCAGGGTGCCGGTAATGTTGTGGTATGATCCTTCTTTGTTATCAAACTGGTTCTTTAATTGACTTAATGCGCATTTGGCAGCTGTGCACTTCACTGATAGTTACGACCAATACCCCGGAATGAACTACTGTGGCCCTTGCACGGCGCCCATCAGCCGTTCGTCGTCATTGAAACGCTTCAAAACGTATTGGAATCGATGTAGTAAAGCAGTAACCGCCAAGCGCCCAGTGAAGACATTCGAATTCAATGATGTATCACCCCCGCAGTTGTATGTGCTAGAAAATTTGTGTTAGCGCTATTAAAAATGCCTGACTAGGCACATAAAACTCCTCTTTGGCATGGTTGTTTTTCGTTGTGATCTTTGTGCTTTCAATGCCGGTATTTAGCCAAATATTCCATGCAATCTACGTACAAGAAATGAATAAGAGATCTAAAAAGGTACTAAACTTCCCGCTAAACACAACTCACCCTGCAAATTCCTCATCTTTGTTTCCGCTGTTTCCTCGTTAGCAAGTGACGCCAATTTGTCTGCATTGTCATGCATAATTTCTTGCAGAGATTTTAGTGCGGCCAGCGAGTCTTCACAATTTTTACTCAAGGCAGCACCATCCACCTTCTCACTGCTTCCCGTACTGGAAAGCGCACGCACATTATCAAGCAACGGAAATAGAACTTGCCAAACGAGCGTCTGTTATGTGGGCTGGTTCAACAAACGACCATGCCAAAAAGAATGCGGAATGCAATTACCAACTGAACACACATAGGTATCAGTGGCTCACTGAAATGGTGTATACATATTTACACATTTCTTTGAAAATAATACCAAACAGAACACGCAATTTTACCTATGGTGATCATTTGCATTCCAATATTTCTCAGGCAGAGAAGCGAGTATTATGCCAACAGCATTGATGTAGTTTTGTATCTCTTTTTGTGGTATCCATGAATAACCCTTCACAACAGCACCGGCACTCACAAATTCAATTGTTTTTTATTGGCTTACTGCGAAACGCCCGCACAGTGTAAGGGCGCTGTTGGGTTGGTTGTTTTGTAATAGATTTAGGAACATTGTCAGCAATATAGGCTGTATTGATGCTTGGAAACAGAGGGCAACAATTGCTCTATAAGAGTTAATGAAAATGTAAACAATTATGAAATATGGGTTTGCTTTAGGGTTGTGCGATTATTCGATTACTCGAGCAAGTTGGTTAATCAGTTGTTCGATTAACATATTACATTTAAAGCATGATAATGATTAATACANTTATTCGATTACTCGAGCAAGTTGGTTAATCATTTGTTCGATTAACATATTATATTTAAAGTATGATAATGATTAATACGATATTAATTAAGGTTTTGAATAATCAATTAATTGCACAGCCCTAGCTTGCTTCTTCCGAATAGCTTACGCAAGAATCCTTTTAATGTCCACCGGTTCGATTTCGTATGAACGAGCAATCGTGCATACATTGCTACTAAAGCCGGCGCAGGTGTGGAAATTTTTCATTGAGGCTATCAAAATCAATAAATTTAGCTGGTTAGTTCGCAGGTTTAGCGGTGCCATTTAACGGCTCGCCAAGANATCCTTTTAATGTCCACCGGTTCGATTTCGTATGAACGAGCAATCGTGCATACATTGCTACTAAAGCCGGCGCAGGTGTGGAACTTTTTCATTGAGGTATAAAAATCAATAAATTTAGCTGGTTAGTTCGCAGTTTTAGCGGTGCCATTTAACGGCTCGCCAAGTATGTTCATTGGACGTGAAAAATAAATACTGTTGATTTGTTGAATATGTATTACATATAATGCAAAAAGCGTTGCCCATTTTATTGTGCAGAGGAAGATGATAAAAAACGGATGACAAATAAAGGCGTTAGTTAACGTGCATTGAACAAATCTAGAAAATAAAGGCAGTCATCCATGATAAAAGCGAACTCAAGTAAAATTAATAAGTTGATATAATTTGCTATANTGCAAAAAGCGTTGCCCATTTTATTGTGCAGAGGAAGATGATAAAAAAACGGATGACAAATAAAGGCGTTAGTTAACGTGGATTGAACAAATCTAGAAAATAAAGGCAGTCATTCGTGATAAAAGCGAACTCAAGTAAAATAACTAAGTTGATATAATTTGCTATAATGGTACTTACTTGCGTCTCTTGGTGGATGGCTGGCCTATCATCGAGACGATCGTTGACGGCATATATTAAGTTATAGGAATATTTAAAAAAAAATTTGGTATAATTCGTTGCTGAACACGTTNTTGCTATAATTCGTTGCTGAACACGTTTTGCTACTGAAGAAGGTGCTGCGGAATCGTCATTAGTGCTTAGTATTTCGGGATCATAAACAACCCGATCGTCAAAAGCGGTTGTTTGATCGCCCAAACGAACGTTATGCAATGTTGCGCACGCGTTAACTACTCGGCCAGCAAAGCCGGGGTCATACAAAAGTACTCTTTGCCGTGATAAGCACCGCCATGTGCCTTTAAGGACGCCAAAGAGTCTCTCGATCGGGTTACGTGCTTTACATAGCGCCTCGTTGTAGCGAAACTTTGGTGTTCCTTCTGGCTCGTTTGGTGAAGGTGTCATCAGGCATGGCTCCAGCGGGTATCCAGAATCGCCTGAAATTTTTTTCTTTTAATATTTCTATTCGTATGGAATTAAAACAACTTACCTATCAAAAACGTGTTGTGATTTCCAGTTTCAAATGATCGCTGCATGACCCGACGCGCTGCAGAGAAGCTCCAAATAAACGAATCATGTCGTGCTCCCGNGCTTAGTATTTCGGGATCATAAACAACCCGATCGTCAAAAGCGGTTGTTTGATCGCCCAAACGAACGTTATGCAATGTTGCGCACGCGTTAACTACTCGGCCAGCAAAGCCGGGGTCATACAAAAGTACTCTTTGCCGTGATAAGCACCGCCATGTGCCTTTAAGGACGCCAAAGAGTCTCTCGATCGGGTTACGTGCTTTACATAGCGCCTCGTTGTAGCGAAACTTTGGTGTTCCTTCTGGCTCGTTTGGTAAAGGTGTCATCAGGCATGGCTCCAGCGGGTATCCAGAATCGCCTGAAATTTTTTTCTTTTAATATTTCTATTCGTATGGAATTAAAACAACTTATCTATCAAAAACGTGTTGTGATTTCCAGTTTCAAATGATCGCTGCATGACCCGACGCGCTGCAGAGAAGCTCCAAATAAACGAATCATGTCGTGCTCCCGGAAATTTTGCATTCACGTTTAAAATCTTAAGATTTGGATCACATATCTATAAGTTTGAACCATTATAAAATAACAATATAAATTTTCATGTTGTACATTTGTTCTTACCATTTGCACGTTCATCGAATGGTACCCATGGTGATTGACATAATTTGATTCATTATTTTTGGGAGCCAAAATTGCAACATGGGTGCAGTCGATTGCACCGATAGTTCCTGCTACAAATGATGAAGGTGCAGACGCAAAAATTCCCTTTGCCGCTTGGCACTCCAGTTGCGTCGTAGGGAACTTCATTTTGGAGGTAAACATTGAATTGTTGATTGCGTCAGTCACACGGTGTATGCAACGGCTTATCGATGTTTGGCTCATGGATATGCCCCACTGTTCACCTACTGGGCGTTGATAGCATCCAGTGGCATAAAACCGTAGAGCAGCTAGAACCTTCAACGAGTACATAAACACATGCTTATACAAGATGCTTTCTAGCGGTAATAGCAATTGTACGTTTTACAGAAAAAGCTGTTCCACGTCACATAAGGTTTATTAAAGTTAAAAGCAGCTTTTTCTGTAAATCCTTGAAACCTTCAGACCCTGCAATTCGTACTACTGCTGGAACGCACCTATAATATTTAATAAAGTTGAAATACATGTATATTGACTTACCTGCTTTTCAGTCGATAACGCTGTTATTCGCGATCCTCTTAATTGATTGTCAAGTTGCGACACCAAATTTTCAACCATGCCGGGACTGAGTCTATATAGCCTCCGGAACTCCGTTAACGTTAGTTCGAAAGGGTTATCGATTTCGCGAAGCCTACGCCGGTCAATTCTTGGCACGTTTAATGGCTGCTCATTATCGTTATCATATAAATATTATACATTGCATCCAAATGCCATTTTTTAACACAATCTTCACAATTTTCTCAATTTAACTTCACAGCAAAATTTGTAAACAACAGCTTAACAAAGAAAAACTAGATGCTGTTAGCTTAACCACAAAAATAATTGTCACCAAACAGCTGACTGCGTTTGTTAACACTAAACAATGACAAATATGGTTAAAGTTGATACACAATCACTTAACCCCAAAAAAAGTTGTTAACTAGAGATAACAACGTGAAATGTGGTTAAAATAAGATTCAGAATCGCACTACAGGCCTGGGCGACGCCGACTGCGCTACCTTCGGGGTAGCGTCGCGTGTTGGTATACACGAAATTTAAAGCTAAAATTAAGTGTAATTTAGCGTGTTGAATTTTAACCGATTCATTAGCCCTGTTCGCGTACGCACTATCCAGTAAATCCAGTACAAATTTTACTGATTTTTTACTGGATGTCGTTTTCGTACGCAAAAACTTGCAAGAAACTAGCAAAAGAGGGGAAATTGAGAGAGCCAAAATGACAGCTGAACTTGCAAGTTTTACTGGATTTTTACTGGATAAATGTTTACTAGCAACTATTTGCTAGTAAGAAAAACAGCTGATGGCATGATGCTTATTGTAAATCACATTAAGAAAATAATTGTTTATGGTGCTTTTTGAGTTGCAATTGACAACCTATTTAAATATATAATAAGATGGAAAACACTAGTTTTCTAAGAAAATTGCATCGGAAAATAACAAACTAATCAGCTGTTCATAAAACTAGCAACTTCTTGCTGGTTTTGCGTTTTCGTACTTTCTTGCATATTTCACTCATTGGGAGTAAATATTGGCTTACTCTCCGAAATTTGGTTACTGGCAAGTTACTGGATATTTTTTGCTGGAGAATACGAAAACACAACTATTATGAATCACTAATTAATAGCCCTGTTCGCGTACGCACTATCCAGTAAATCCAGTACTAATTTTACTGGTTTTTTACTGGATGTCGTTTTCGTACGCAAAAACTTGCAAGAAACTAGCAAAAGAGGGGAAATTGAGAGAGCAAAAATGACAGCTGAACTTGCAAGTTTTACTGGATTTTTACTGGATAAATTTTTACTAGCAACTATTTGCTAGTAAGAAAAACAGCTGATGGCATGATGCTTATTGTAAATCACATTAAGAAAATAATTGTTTGTGTTGCTTTTAGAGTTGCAATTGACAAAATAAACCTATTTAAATATATAATAAGATGGAAAACACTAGTTTTCTAAGAAAATTGCATCGGAAAATAACAAATTAATCAGCTGTTCATAAAACTAGCCACTTCTTGCTGGTTTTGCGTTTTCGTACTTTCTTGCATGTTTCACTCATTGGGAGTAAATATTGGCTTACTCTCCGAAATTTGGTTACTGGCAAGTTACTGGATATTTTTTACTGGAAAATACGAAAACACAACTATTATGAATCAGTAATTAATAGCCCTGTTCGCGTACGCACTATCCAGTAAATCCAGTACTAATTTTACTGTTTTTTTACTGGATGTCGTTTTCGTACGCAAAAACTTGCAAGAAACTAGCAAAAGAGGGGAAATTGAGAGAGCAAAAATAACAGGTGAACTTGCAAGTTTTACTGGATTTTTTCTGGATAAATTTTTACTAGCAACTATTAGCTAGTAAGAAAAACAGCTGATGGCATGATGCTTATTGTAAATCACATTAAGAAAATAATTGTTTGTGTTGCTTTTAGAGTTGCAATTGACAAAATAAACCTATTTAAATATATAATAAGATGGAAAACACCAGTTTTCTAAGAAAATTGCTTCGGAAAATAACAAATTAATCAACTGTTCATAAAACTAGCAACTTCTTGCTGGTTTTGCGTTTTCGTACTTTCTTGCATATTTCACTCATTGGGAGTAAATATTAGAGAATACGAAAACAGAACTAATTTTGGCTTTATTTTCACCTTCAACTTCGTGTCGGCGCCGCCCGGCCTGATTATGATGTACAAATAAAGAAGGATTTATTATTATTAAAGATGTAAAGAATTATTTAATGAAGAAACAAACTAAAAGATAATAACTTGTTTTAAGAATAATATTGTTTTTATAACTTTAAGCTAAAATTAGGATACAGAAATATTATGTTTACAATAGTACTAAACTTTATTTAATTTAGTGTTACATTTATATAAATGTCTCTCGGCGTATGTTTGATACATACGTTGAACATACATAAGTAAATAATTATGTGTGTATGAAAATGTAGCATGGTTAAACACTTAAAATATCAATACTCCGATCAAAATATATACTACTAGTTATAAGTTATCTTATGAATGCACGGTTAAATATTTCGGTTTTACTTTTAAACTTTCTGGACTACATATATGACGAAACTAAATTCAGTTCCAGGTCTAAAAAAAGAGAGCACATATGTTGGGTTTAGAATTTAAACAGGTTGGTTTACATTTTATACCCAAACATTTTCATAATTAAGAAAAAAAAAACTTAAATTTCATGCTCCGTTTGATGGGGATTGAACCCGGACAGCCTTGGTAGCAAACCAATTGTATCAAGCATCCTTGCACACTGAGCTACAGCCATGCATGTAAATTTGCTTTCATATTTTGAGCTTGAATCAACTTCGCATTTCGTTGTGTTGATGCCGTCAGTCAGGGTGCCCAGATTGTTTAAAAAAAGCGCAGTTCCAGAAAAAAAATCGCCAATTTTTTTTTTTAATTAATGAAATCGATTTAACCATTCTTTTATTTAAAAAATTAGATCTTGTTATAATATAGTTTTTAAAACCAAAAACGAATATACAGTATATTTTGCTTTGCTGCCTCTATGCTTAAGTGCACATTTAAGATACCTACCCCAAAATGCGCATCAAAAGCATTATTTTTAACATTTATAAGGAAACTGCTCCGATAGATGCATTCAACATACCTGCACATTGGCGATACCTGCCTTAAAAATAGTGCAACTAGTATCAATTACAGTATATTTTGCTTTGCTGCCTCTATGCTTAAGTGCACATTTAAGATACCTACCCCAAAATGCGCATCAAAAGCATTATTTTTAACATTTATAAGGAAACTGCTCCGATAGATGCATTCAACCTACCTGCGCATTGGCGATACCTGCCTTAAAAATTGTGCAACTAGTATCAATTATCAATGAAAGTATTACGTTTACCTGCACTGGCCCTACAATTACCTAATTTGACAACCTTTTATTTATTTTGCTCATCTCGCAGAACAACGAAAATGGCTATCAATTTATGTAGTTATATAGATAATTAGATAACAATCGGTAAAAATTTCGCTTGCAGTAATTTCTACATGGTAAGTGCTCCGCCAATATTTGGTTTCATAGGGTTCGGATACCTTCCTCATTGAAGTAGTAAAGAAAATTCGCTTAAGTGCCTTTTTCGGTTACGTGCACAAGTTTTTCGTGGAAAGAAGGATGTGCAGCTAAGCAAAATATACTGTATCAATGAAAGTATTACGTTTACTGCACTGGCCCTACAATTACCTAATTTTACAACCTTTTATTTATTTTGCTCATCTCGCAGAACAACGAAAATGGCTATCAATTTATGTAGTTATATACATAATTAGATAACATTTGGTAAAAATTTCGCTTGCAGTAATTTCTACATGGTAAGTGCTCCGCCAATATTTGGTTTCATAGGGATTCGGATACCTTCCTCATTGAAGTAGTAAAGAAAATTCACTTAAGTGCCTTTTTCGGTTACGTGCACAAGTTTTTCGTGCAAAGAAGGATGAGCAGCTAAGCAAAATATACTGTAATACCTTCAGAGGGTAATAATAAATAACACAAATCACTTATGTAATAGTGATGTACAAACAATTTTCTTTAAAATTACGCATACTTTTTTAAAATATTTGTTTCAACACATTTTGCAATAGGACTGCGCAATTATTAAATTTATTATAACTCATATTAATTGATTAATGGCACAATTCGCTTTTAAGAGCTCGGCGCTAAAAATTAAATAAAAACCTATAATAAGGCGAGATCAGCTATTTCCACAATTTCGTCAAAATCACTTGTAGTGTCTAATGATTTACATTTCTGTTGTTGTCATATATTGAGCTATTCAACCTTGACAACATACTGTTTGATATTGGAAACGTTTTGCAGCAGAAACTACCAGCCTTCATATAACATTTTATTCAAAATATTGAATTAGGGCTTTCCAACCTCATCCTATTTCGAATATTAGTTTTTGCTGAATTCTTTACGGAAAAAACGCGCTCAACAAAGCATGTGAGTGCGGCAAGGATAATAATATGAATTTACCTACATATATTTCCAAACATTTTATTGCCTGTTGCGGTTTTCACTCCGTAAGCAATTATCCAAAATTCCTCAGAGTCGGATAGAATGGTTCTGAGAAAAGTTATTTCATGGGAAAGTTAAAAGATTCAAATATTCAGTTTCCGCTGCTTTTCTTTCCTTCAAAGTCAAATAGTGAATTTGCAGGTCCCTGAAACTCAACCTCTTGTGATTCACACACTTTTCTGGTGACAAAATCAAAGTTTTTTTTTAAAAGTATTTAATGACTAGGTAATCGTTGCAAAAGTTCTTCGATTAGGGTGATTGAACATTTTTGACAGTCTTTTAATGTGCTTCTTGAGTCGAGTTTATCACGCAGTTCATTAGCCTCTTCTGTTAAATTATCGTGGAAAAATAAGTTTAGTATATTTTTATAATTGGAAAAAATTTATTTGAAGGAACAAAATCGCCAAAAATCCCCAATGGCGATTTCATAAATTTTTACGCGCAAATATTCAAAAAAAAAATCGCCAAATCTGGACACTCTGTCCTCACTTCATAAGATTTGCTCTCTCTCTCTGAGAGACATATAAAATAAGGCATATTGAGGCAAACATTTTCTATTTCGGTTTAGATTTTAAACAAAATTTTCTAAATATGAAACCTAGAAACTAGAATTAAACATTTTGGTTTGATTTTTGAACCACTCATAGCAAAACATCATTTTCTCGGCTGTTAGACTAATATTTAAACCATTATATATTAAAAATTGCTTAAAACCAGTGGCGTAGCCAGGGGGGATTGGGGGATAGATCCCCCCTTCGTCAGTGAAATTAAACTTTTTGTTTTTGAATTAATAATAATACTATTTTACCCTTCCGATTTGTATTTTTTTTATTTCAGACTGATGACAAATTATCTTTTAATGAATATATAAAATTATCGGTTGGTGGATTATATATTTGAATTTTTGTGAAATACACTAGTCCATTTTGCTTAGTTCCCCACAGCGTTGGGAAATAATCTATAATCTATACAAAAAC